ACAAACACACACACACACACACACACACACACACACATGGAGGTCTGGCAACCTTCCTCTGAGGGCCCCCTCAAAAAAAGGCACAGCAGCAGCAGCTACCCCCACCACGACAGGGGAGTAAACTTTGCGAGGAGAGCCCAGAACCAAGGTGGCTGAAGCAGGATGAAGAGGAGGAGGAGGAGGAGGGTGCTGAGGCAGCCGCTGGCCCGGCTGGTGCTGGGGGTGCATAGAGAGAAAGACAGCCAGAGAGCTGCTTCTGGATATTAGTTTGTGGCAAGGCGGGGGCCACAAACTATCATCTGGCGGGCCGCAAATGGCCCCCGGGCCGCATGTTTGAGATCCCTGCTATAGAGGAAAGGATGGCATCATCATTATTTTACCATTCTGATTGAGTAATACCTTTTATTAACATTACTCAGCCCAGAAATTTGTTAAAAAGAAGTGTGGAGAAACACCCCCCTCTATTTTCATCTTTTATTTTTGATATTTCCCTAACTAACATAGTGACATTCTAAAAACATGCCAGGCTGATGCATTGCCATTTCAATAGGCCACTTACCTGTGTTAACAAACAAACAGACAGACAAAGGAAAGTCAACCCAGGCCTTTGAATAAGGTCTGAGAGAAAAGTCAGGAAAAGGGGGCTCTGTTGCTTCCATGGGCTCCACCTGCACAAAGCAGCACAGCCCCAGCAGAGGAGAAAGGCACTGAAAAAGGGGAGGGTTACCTCCCTTCTATCTCCCCAGCCTCCTCCCCTCACATTGCAATTGTCCTGGGCTATTGTTGCTGCTGTTTCCTTACTCACAAGTTACTTGGGTAAACTTTCGTTAATATGGATCTGTAGCACGGGAGAAGAGGATCTGCTTTCCCAGCTCCTACACAGAGGATCAAGGAAAGCATGTAATTGAGAGCTGATGCGGCCACAAGGGGTCATTTGCTGTGGGGACTGGAGGAAAACCCCAAATGGCACATTGCTCCCCCACACCTCAACGGACCCTTTGTAGCCTGATCCACCCCACACCCAAAACGGCCAGTCTGGACAGGCCCTCAAATGTAGCGCGGAGAACTCTCTAAACTAAAGCTTGAGCTCGTTCACCTTCACCGCAGTTGGCATACACTGCACTAACGGAGGGTAATATTTTTGCTAAGGAAGAAGAGTGTGACTTTCTGTTTTCCAGGGTGGGGGAGAAACAGGGTTTCATGCTTGGCTTCTGTAAAGCCCGATGCATAATGCATTATCTCGTTCAAAGGTAAGTAGAGGATATACACATGGATGAAAGATTAAATCCTGGAAATTCTAAACAATTGACGGGAAGCAGAACCATAACAAATTGATTCTGCTAGCTGTCTGCAAGGGGGAAAATGGGGGAGGAGGAGGACATTTGTGTATTATTTAATCACATGTAAGATTTAAAGAAATCCTTTAGAAAGACAGGCCATAATAACATAGCTTGACCACTAGAAAATACTGTGGGCAAAGAAGGCTGTCTATACATGACCTCTTTTCTTGCTTGCATTGTGATAGCGGGGCAGCAGCAGCCTTGGTGGTGGTGGTGATGGCATGTACTTAGCAATGGGGAACTAAGTACATGCCATAACAATACCTTTCTTAATAGCTCTGACAGAAAGGAAAACAGAAAGAGAAAACAGACAGTGCATGGAGCACTGTTCAAGGGAAAGAAATCCTTGAAGAAAATTGTGTTCCCTCTTTACTTCATAGGAGGAAAAAAGATTAATTTAAATACCTAGGTGGCCTTGGTTGATTGGTTGGTTTTATGTCAGCATTGACCCTACAGTAACCCCCGTCTTGCTGATCAAAGGGATTATGCTACAGACTCCAAGGCCGAGTTTGTTGTCTATGAGGCTTTGCCAGCTCTCAGTATACTAGTTTCTGGAGAGCTGCTATTCCCTTCCCTTCTGAGGGTATCAGCGCTCATTACCTGCTGGCTTTTATTGACCTCCACTTGGAGTCAAAGAGGAGCTTTGGCTGTTGATTTATAGACAAGGATCATCAACAAACTAACCTATTCATTTGTGCCCGAAGGGTAAGGGCGGGAAATGAGACACAGCTGAGAACAACAACAGGAACGCTGTTGCATAAACAAGGGACCCAAGAAAATGTAAAGACTACAAGAAGGGCAAAAATGCAATGGGTGAGGGGATATTACCATGGTTTTGATAACTGGTTATCTAATCATTTATTTATTTATTTATGTATTTATTTATTTATTTAGTTAGTTAGTTAGTTAGTTAGTTAGTTAGCTAGTTAGCTAGCTAGTTAGTTATTTAATTTATACCCCGCCTATCTGGCCCACCGGACCACTCTAGGCGGCTTTATCTGATGATAAAGTTTTAAAAGTCAAGTAAATGCATTGATAATGCATGAAAATTGATACTTATGTCTGTGTACCCATCCTCCTCCTCCTCCAGAGAAAAAGCACCACCCATCTACCTCAACCTAAGAATTAACTCTACACATGAGATTCCTAAGCTTGGCACTTCAGATGTTTCTGGATAGACCCCAGAGCCTTCACTATTACAGTGAATGAGAAGGATTTCTGTTCACTATATTACAGTAACATCAGGACCCTACAGCAAGGAACAGGTTTGGTTGCTGTGACCTGTATAGCCCTTAGGAAAGTATGGCTGGAAGCAACAGTGCAGCCTTTTCTTAGAACTTACACTTTTAGGCAAAGCTTCTACAGGGTTCTACTAGAGAAGTTAACGTGGAAAGAAGTCAAATAACTTACTGCCTCTGTATAGGGTTAGCCTCATATTAGGACACAAATCCTTCCTCAAACAAGTTGTATTTCCCTATGCTGGAATCATAATTCTACCTACTGGATATGCACTATATCTGCAAAAAATGGCAAAGTGGGAAAGACAATTACAAGTGACAAAAATACTAGTTTTGAAAGAGCCAAAAAAATAAATGTGCTTCTAGGGGATCAATGTTGGTAGCCTATATATCCATCTCTATAAACCCCATCATTTATTTTGAATCTAACAATGTAAGTAACAAATTAATAACACCAATTCAATGGATAAAACGTTTTCAGGCTTCAGCATTAACACCAACAACTTATTCTCCCCATTTCTACCATTTAGCACAAGGACATTCCTTTTCAGACCTAACATCCCAAGCTCTGTTACTCCACACAAGAGACTCAAAGCCAAATGTTGTCATGTATCCTCAGCCCTTGGTCTTAGTACTCCCTCTTCAAGGTTGCAGGCAACCCAGCTGTGACTGCTCTGTGGGTTTTAAGAGGAGAGGTGTTAGTTTCCGGCAAGAAGGAAAAAACATTTTCTTTCTTTTTATTCTCCTGAAACTCTTTTACTTTCTTCTCTAGTGCTCAATGTTTCCATTGGGGTGTGGTACTTTATAGTGGGCAGGGGCAAGTTTCTACAGAGTGGGAAAGTTCTTTCATTTTGAAACTTTCCCAGCCTATACATGCAAGATGATTTCTCATTTGTCTTTGCTTTAACCTTTGGGACATTCATCTCTCTTTACACCTCGGACCAAGGCAATCTCTAGTTGCTACATGCTAGTCAAGTTGCCATTGACTTATGGCAACCCCATGACATCCAGAAGGCCCTGCTCAGCTCTTGCGAACTCAAGCTTGTGGAGTCAATCCATCTGATATCTGGTCTTCCTCTTTTCCTGCTGCCTTCCACTTCTCTTATTACTCTCTTTTTCAGGGAGTCTGGTCTACAGTACCAGGGAAATCACCATAACAGGGAAGACTTTGATCAGGTAATTTGTGGGCCTGCTTAGCCTGCTGCTAACATGTGCCCCACTGTGATACAACGTCACCCCCACTCTTCCTCACTTGTTATGGTTCTCTAAGAGATGGATACAAATGAATGATTTTTTAAAAATTTAAATTGGTTTTTTAGAATTTAAATTGGTTTTTATTTTGTTTGATAGCAAGCTTTTTGAGGAAAAACTAAATACTGTAGCTGCTAACATGTGCCCCGCTGTGATACAACATCACCCCCACTCTTCCTCACTTGTTATGGTTCTCTAAAAGATGGATACAAATGAATGATTTTTTAAAAATTTAAATTGGTTTTTTAGAATTTAAATTGGTTTTTATTTTGTTTGATAGCAAGCTTTTTGAGGAAAAACTAAATACTGTATAGTTTTCTAATTAAGATACATTATAGCCCAAGGTTTTTAGTCATGTAATAAGAATTGGTTTTTAATTATGTAGTATGAAATTGTATGTTCATGCAGTGTTTAAAAATATATCAATACATTCCAGTAATTTATTCATAAGGATTCAGTATCATGTTCTCTCAGAGATTTTTGTAAGATTATTTGGGGTAATTTTTCTATCTAGAAAATACCATCACAGATACTTGGCTTTACAGTTCTCAAAGCTCTGAATTTGTGTCTGCAGAGATAACATGCCTCTTTTTAACAGCAAAAATGCTTTCAAATAAAGCATTTCAGAAAGACATCTCAATCCTATTTTTTATATTGCAAATTTATATTCACACAATTAGACCCTTACCCCTTAAGTGGTAAATTCCAAGAAGTTCAATGAACAGAAGATTGTTTGGGGTGGAATAGATATGGATAAGAAGGAGGTATTGTGAGGAGGGAGGGGCAGGCAGTAGAAATAAAAGTGAAACGTTTTGAACAGAATACTCCAGAAATCTTGAGAGTTTTGTGAGCATAGCATGAGATTTATCATATCCTTTCCCATGAACAGAAAACCTATAATGGCAGCAGGCCATGAAAGAGATCCAGTTTAGGAATATTTTAAGGAAGTTTCTCAACCTATGAATATAAGGCAGGGATGTGCACAAAATGAAAACTGTGCAACAAAGAATATTTGTTTAACATTGGTTAACAAACATGGATGTTTTAGCAACTATAAGAACACATATAATATCTAATGTTCGGTTTTAATTAAATAAAACAAATGAAATGGCTATCATTATTGTTAATTATTACAATTATAAAAGCTTGCCTGAAAAAGAAAATATTTCAAATGGTAAATTGGCAATCATTAACCTTCTGATTAAGTAAGTCCCTGCATTTGTGTAACTTTCTGATATAACACGAAAACTAACCTGACTCATTAATACTAAAAATGAAACTTTCCTCAGTTTCAAATATCAAACTTACAACAATCAGAAAGAATAAGTCTTTATGTAGAAAATCCTGATTTAAATTGATATGATTTAAATCAAATCCACCCTGGTTCTACATATTTAAACTTAGACTGGACAGTCCTTCAAGAAGAGGACACAATCAAATAAAGTTGGACACATGACCACCATAAAACTGTGTTCTGAATAGTCCTTAGTGTTGTATGACTACATATCTCAACCACCCACTCAGCTTTCGACTTTGAAATGAAAAGCAGGAACTGCTCCTACCATAAGAATATGCGAGAAATTTTATGTCATACCTTGACCTCTTATGTCTCCTCCTTTTACTCAGATGGTCTACAATTCCAGTGAACCTATGGCAGGATTAACACACTTTTGCTCCTGCAAAAAAAGGTTCCTCAGTGGTTACAGACTTCCAGAAAAGTGGACTTCCACTCCCAACTATATTCCTTGGCTGCTACAAGCATTCACTTTGCCTGAGTAGGACAGAAAGGTTGGATGCAGAGGGCTTTTAGACCAGCACCAACAGAGCAATTAAGACATAGGCTATTCTGGTTCCCACCAGAGTATAAAATAATCATGGGGACTGTCAATGCCATACCACTTATGTTTGATGAACAGAACCTAGAACTGGTCACATAGATCACTACAGGTTTATAAAATCACTTTTGTCTGCATTGTTATGGTAATATAGCACAGCATCTGGTGCTGATAAGGGCATCACAGCAAAGGAAGATAAAGAAGAAACTAATTGATTCCATTGATCTGCCTCTATTGACAAGTCTGAGTTATTTTTTCCATCCGTTGTAAACAGGACAGTCTTTATTACTGTTGTCACTGCTGTGTTTGCTAAATTTTATATTTTTTTATTTACTGAGAAGAAATGATCTGTCAGTTTTCCACCCCAAGAGTAACTTTAAGATACCTTTGAATTGGCTTCACAAAGGCAATAACCCACAGGACACCTTCTATAGACAAGGTATCAACTTTGCATCAGCCCTTGCGTCAACTGGAACATCTCTGAGTGTAGCTGCTGTGACACTAAGATCAGTGGTGGCCAACTTATATTGGTATACAGATAAGCAGAGGGACACCAAAAGCAGCCCAGTCAGAAGGCAATTCAATTTTGTGTGAATGTTGTGGGGTGTGCCACAGAAAGGTTTCCCTCATTTAGTGGTCATCTTGTTACTAGCACCAGGGTGCATTGCCAACAATAGCACAGATAAAGAGAGCAAACCGTCCTGCTAAAATGCTAGAAGAGTTCAGTTTTGCAACAGAGTTTTAGCAGCTGCAACAGCAGCACATGCAGTACAAGCAGAAATGATCAAAGACACGTTGGAAGGAAACCACAAGAAGCTGGCAGTTGAGCCTTATTAGAGCTATAAATCATAAAGGCGGCTTCACTTGTAGCAGGTCTCTCTCTGGCTGTGTGCCTGTTTCTGGCCTAGTCAGCTGCAAGGTTTTGAAAAGCCTAAAGGCACCCAAGACTGGCGTGCATGCACGCCCGCGCGAGCGCGCGCATACACACATGCACATGCACACACACAAAATCAGTAAAACAAGAGCAATTTCAAAGCCAATTTTATTTCTCTAGCCTCTTTGAACTCTGAAGAGGAGAATAGTATGTGGTCTAACCTAGAGGGGAAATGGACTTGTAAAAGCTATTGCTATTATTATTTTTTTGGAGAGAAAAAACAAAAACAAAAACAGATTTAACATTTTAATTTGAATTGGAATAAATCACAAATGGGTTTTGGTCTGCATGTTCCTGAATTTCTGGGAGGGTGTAGAAGTCGTAATGATAATAATAATTTGCTGTCAAGTCAATTCTGATTTATGCTAACCATTTTCAGGGTAGAGAATACTTAGAAGTGGTGTTCCATTCCCTTCATCTGGGGGGTCACCATGGGACTGTGCAGCTTGCCCAAGACCACACAGGCTGACTCTACTTGCAGGAGACAGACACATTGGGGAATTGAACACCCAATGTCTGTCTCCACAGCCAGACACCTAAACTACTGAGCTAATCCAGACACTCAAATTTCTAAGGTTTTTGATTATTGCATTCTGATGGCAAGTTTTTTTTTACATTTGGATCTGAAACACAGTTGTCTGGCTGCAGGGAGCTCAGCTGTCTTCAAAGACGGTCCAAGAACTACACTAACAGAGGATTAAACTAAATCATGCTGAACTGACTGAACATCAGTTGTAAGCATTGAAGCAGACAAGGTTGGAAAATCCATTTTGGACTACAGTTAACAAATTACACAAAGTTGTAGTCTTAAAATGTAACTTTTCCACAGTCTCTTAAAAATTGGTCTGAGACAGCAATGTCTCTACGCTCAGTCTTTTTCCATCACATGAAAAAGATCTGCACCCCTCTGTTGTCATGCTACAATCACAAAATGAAACACCAATGGGATTTTCAAAAACGATGGAGGAAGGTGCTAAACAGAAAGGGGCTGGCAGAGTGAAACCAATTTCACTCTGGCAGCACATTCTATCCATCTACCTTAATCAGAACGAGCCATAGTTCTTCATCATTTGAGAAAGGAAAACACAGGAGTGGCAATCAGACACACTGGCATATCCATTTGTCTCAGAGACTTGCAGAAAAATCCTACATCCTTCCTTTCTGTGTTTTAAGAACTCAGCCTACACAATGGCTACCACTGTCAAATGTTGAGAGCCGCCTCACCATCATCGCTACCACCACCACTGAGAGGGACTTTAGGGAGAAAGAAAATGAATAATGTACCAGGAAGAAGAATCAAAATATTGTGTCATCCTTAAGTTTAACACTTCTTTTAGCAGGAGCTTTAATGGATTACAATCTACTGGCTAAAATCCAATATCTACGTGCAACTAGAGTAAGCCCATTGAATCAGTAGGGATTTGGCGAGTCCACTCCTTCACACTGATTCAATTAGCCTACTCTAATTGTGACTTACTACTGGATTGCAGTGTTTCTGAAGAAATGGACTGTAATTTATGAAAGGTCACACTGAAATAAACTTGTCAGCCTTAAGGTTCCCACAACAATGCATTAGTAGCAGGAGTAATAGTAGTAGTAGTACAGTACAGTATTTTGTTATACATGCCGAAACAGACTAGCACACCTACCTCTTTGAAAACTGCAGGTGTAAAGAAATTCTTTATGGCTGCAGTATAGAAAATGCCTCACATCTCTTCCTCAAGTAGAATGAACAGAATTTCAACATGTGCTATGCCCTAAAGTCCCAAGAATTTGGAGTCCTTGCCACATACTGGAAAGTTTAGAGTAGAGAAACTATGCCTTCTAGGTTTGTTGGACTACATCTTCCATGTTCCCTCACGATTGCCCATCCTGACTAGGGCTAATAGGAGAAGAAGTCCGACAACTTCTGGAAGGCCACATGTTCCCTATACTCTACTATTCTCTCCACTTTGGAAAGAGAACATTCCAGCCTTGATAGCAAAATTGATTTCCTTTCGTAGCACCAAGTTCAGGAAGAAAAAACAGGGGAACAACAGAAGCATGTTTACAAAACAGAATTAGAGTTAGTACAGCCTCTGCTACCCCAAAGCTTCTGGTTGCCCTTATGTCCTTATATGAACTTTTGCAGCTTTTGCCTCAGCTACACACTGGACCACATCCGTTTCCACAGGCCCTGGCATGCTGTTTCAGCTCATACCTCCTCTGAGCCCTAAGGTTTGCTTCCACAAATCCTTCCTTTAGATGAGGATGCCTTTCATTCCCCCCTGAATTAATAAGGCATTTCCACCAATGACACTGAAGCAGCCTTTTTTTGCTTGCTTGCAGACTATTCAGCATGCTTGACAGCCAGGGCTATGACAGAGCCAGAAAAGAAAACAGCCCTTTTGTATCTTCAGTCAAAGCCAGCCTCTTGTATCTGTAATCACTGTTTTCACTGATTGGTTTACCCTCCTTCCAACATTTCACAAATAAAAAATAGGGGCACTCCTGGGTATAAACTATTGAGGAATGTGCCATCAACTCACCTCTGACTTACAGCATCCCTATGAATGAGTGACCTCCAAAATGGTGTATTATTAAAGCCCTGCTCAGCTGAAGCAAGATACTGCACAGTTGAAGACAACTACCTTCCCCCTCTGCTTGAATCCTATATTATAGTCATGACAGTGCAGGCATCTCTAGATCTTGCTCCCCAGCGCCACAGTTTGAGGATGGAGTCCTTTAAATATCTAAACAACTGTTCTAGTTTTAATCCCAACTAGAGAAGACTCATTGACTCAATGGGATTTACACAACTTTTGAGGTAGCATTCAGCAGTGGCCTCACTGGGTCTAATCTTCAGTTGAGACTGGCAATAGAATACATTCACCAGACAAAAACATATTTCATGTGTCATATTAAATAGTCAAACACCAGGAAATACTCATTTTTCAAAATTTCTGGAAAAACAAATGTTTCATGACTTTCCCATGAATCAAATCAACTGGAGATCCAGGGGAGGTACAGCAAGGTGGTCTTGTAATTAAAGATGGTATCATAAAGTATATGCATTAAAGTGTCACAACAAAGGTTGCAGACAATTTTAATTGTGGCATTTACTAATTTTCTCATGGAAGACTAAACGACCTAAAGATCATACTTTTCTTTCTCTGTGTGTGCTTGTGTGCCCAGATTTTAAATTGGAAAAATAATGTTTAAAAATGTCTCTTTTATTAAGTACAAACCTGCCTATTAGTCAGCAATGCAGGCTAAGGTCTAAACCTTCAGTTTCCCAGCTATTGTGTGAATTTGAATAACAGAGATTATTTTTCTGAGTAGAGAAAGGCTGTTTCTACAGAGTATGGAGCAAATAACAGTATGCAGTGTGGTGTAGTAGACAGAATGATGGACTAAAGTTCATGAGACCTGGGTTCAAATCCCTGGTTGCCCACGGAAACTGACAAGGAAACTGGCATTGGTAGTACCATCACTTAAATATCTCACTTACCTTAAAAACTCTGTTTTGTTGTACATGCTGAAACTTGATAGCAGACCACACACACATGAAAAGAACAAAAGAATGGACAGATATTCCCACTGGCTTCACTCCTTTTTTGATAAGGAGAAACAATTATATAATCTGCCACCATTTCAGACCTCTGACTTTATTCCAAGGGTCAAACCACACATTACAGGAAATGTATATATATATATCCTGCCATTAACACTTCCCTCTCAGTTCCTTCAAAATATCACACCAGAACAATTAGACTTGCAAATGTAACCCATGTTTATCTCCTGAAGATCAGTCCTCCAACAACACAGCTTAATCTGCAATAGGTGACACAAGGCAAGTTTGTGCTAGGGGAAAGAGAGGCCTTTTAAGAGAACTCTGCTTCTAATTCACATGGTGACTATATGGTTT